GGCAAGATGGACAACTACAATGTAACTTCCTACATGAATGCAATTCCGGATTCAATCTCATCACAAAGGCCTTGCAGTCCCGTCGTCCGTTCCTAGGCAACATATGGAACGCAGCCACAAAGGCACACGAATCCTAGTTCCTCCCCCCTATTGAAACTCCTGCACTGTCGTGCATGCACGGCCAAGGGAGCTATCCAAGTACCACCCGCACTTACGTAGTTAGCCCATAGCAATTTTCATGCCGTTAACCGCGTCTTCCGGGAACGTCGGAGTGCCACTCATCACTCAATTATATGTAAGTTCTACGACTACATGCAACCCATCCTTATGCAAATGCATTACTTCGTGCATTCTCATAATATAACCTATACATGACCACGAATATATGTAGACATATTAGTTACTTCCCAATATCGACCGTTATCAACACAACAAGGCAATGACTTCAAGTAAACCAACAAGCAATGCAGCAAGTATATCAACCTAGTTTAACACACGCAAGACAGTGCGGCTATTAACACAACAAGATTGAGATCTAGGGCAAGCAGAATGATTCTTATCGCAACAAGATTAAGTCATTATCAAGTACAAAGCGACATTCAAACACACAACAAGCAAACGAATTCACACAAGCAATCTTAACAGTTTTACTCATTAGATATAACACATAGCATCACGGTGAACATTATCTAGTTTCAAGCGTACTACTTTATACAACCTAGGTGATAGATTCAGTTTACAAGATAGAACGGAAAACATCTTTGCGACACCGAGCCTAACGGATTTAACGTATGCATCAGAACACGAGGTGCGAGATAGATCTAGTATGCAAACAGACGGTAATTGAAATACACATGCATGCAACAGATCACAGATTTCATGACATGTTTTACATGCAAGACGAACATCCATCCGCCGTTAACTCAGCCTAGCAGAACGGATACGAGTATTTATCACAATCTATCCTTGTCTTAACACACGGAATGAATGCATGCAACCCAATACGTTTATTATGAAATAACTAACGAATCAAACGGATAATCTACGAGTGTTCGACTCATCAACACTCGGATCCACACTCACCTTGATTCGACGCGGAGGATTGAGCTTAGTGGAGTCACGGACTTCTCCTAACTCTTAACTTCGATGGTTCTGAATCTATAAAGAGATTCTAGCTTAGATTATCGGGAAATTTAAATAAGGGTAATGAAACAATCGGAGATGACACAAGACTTACCGGATAATCGCTAACCCAAAACGGACATACGGTAGAAAAAACGTCTAACCTTTGTTCTAGAGAAATTTGGACAGAACTTTAGGAGAGAAAACAGAAATAGAAGATAATAAGGGTTAAGGGCTCTATTTATAGAGAAAAAATCTGATTTTTCTCGGCCAAAATGCACCTAGCGCATGACTGACATATGGCGAGTCAGTTCTGCTGCCCAGTCTTGAGCCAAACGGTGCCCAGAATGCGAACGACACATGGCAGATTGGTCTTGCCGCCCAGCTCGATCTGCGCACTGGCCAGAGCATGGATGACACGTGGCGGTCTTGTCCGCTGCACAGTCCCGACCACACGCGAGCCGGCCTTGGTTCATGCGCTTCCCAATGCATGACAGACACGTGGCACTACCGTCCTGAAGACCCAGCCACGGCCCGGCGTGCTTAATTGCGTCTATCTGAACTTACCGCGACACGATCTCCTTACCGCGACACGAAGATCTCCTTACCGAGACAAGGCAATCCTTACCGCAACACGAGTATTTCGGTCCAGGACATGGCAATCCTTACCACGACACAAGTGTCTCGGTTCGCGACACAGCAATCCTTACCGCAACACATCCTGATCTGTGCTGTTTTAACCCGCGGTATATCCGCCTTACCCACGACACATACGGCTTCGGTCCTTAGTCGATTTTTTTCGGCCCAACTTCACTTCTTTTCTACTTTTACTGATTTTCTTTGATAGAAGTTTGATTTTTGACCTCGTGGCATTTTCCCCGAGTGCTAAGGCCTTGGTCCTCGATACTTGGTTCCATCCAAGCATTGACACAACTAGGCCGTTGCGCCTAAGGCCTTGGCTCACTTCACTCCTTGCGGTCTTGTCGACTTAGGTTTAGAACCTTAAACTGGATCATTCCCTTAATCCACCTAAGGAAATTTTTCCAACCGACTTAGAGTCGACGGTCCTTGATGCAATGGTTGAGACCGAGGTCAGGCAAGCCGTTCTTAGGATTTTCTTTGAAGCCGCAACTTTGAAAATCGTTGGCTATTGACCATTGACCATTGACCGTTGACCGCTCTTAGGGGTATTACACCGGATGTCCCAACTCCTCCATCTCGAAGCCATGTACTTGTATCTCCTTTGACGGGCAAAGATAAAGCAGATGATGTGTCTTTGATTATCTTGCAGCCCCTTAAAGGAGCATGGCCAATGCCTCTTAACCAAGAGCAATTGATGTTGTCGCAACAACAATCAAGTCATGTTCTTTTGATCAATGGCCATTTCTTTCGGCCTCAACTATTCCTAATTGCTGTCAATAACGGACCCAAACATTCTACCCCGTTCATGATTTTCTTAATCAAAAACATATTTGGAAGATGCAATTAGCTTCCCTTAGGTTGCTAAAATGGATCTTTCATCGAACTTAAATAGAGCAACATCTCTAGAATACATGAAAGACGGTACTCCAAAGGTAACGATTCTAAACCAGGTTCTAAGGCAAGGTCTTGAGAATCAGAAAGAATATGTCTTTGGCTACTTCTATAGATGTAGTGATCCGCCTGGTGGATTGATTCATGTTGTGGTTTATAGTTTAGGGTAGATGATATAATGCGTTTTTGGCGCATTCTAACCCTTGTTTTGTAGGCTTTTATCGAGTCTTTCACTCTCTATCGAGTCATTCTAGGTACAAAAAGTGGCTGGAAGCAATGACTGGAACTTGCAATCGGATTTGGCTAGAAAGGAACGAAGTTGGACCATTTTTGAACATTCTGGAGAAAGGGAGCACCTAGTACAAAAGAGGGAGCACCTGCTCCCAGCAGAGTCATTAATGGGCCTTTTGCAAAACCCTAATTTTGCAACCCTAATTTTGGGCCAGCCGCCGTGAGCCTTTAAATATGTTTTTCCCTGGATCTTTTGAGAGGAGGAACGCCACTCACATCACGAAGGGCAGCAGCAACAACGCAAGGGAGATTCAC